CTGCTGGAGCCCCGGGCGCTGGAGGAGGCGGCGGCCCGAGAGGAGCCGCCCTCCTTGGAGACTTCCCCGCGGCCGCCCAGCGCCAGCACCGGCGCCCCCGGGGGTCCCTGCCGCAGCCCTTCCCTGGGCTCCGACTGTCCCCGTGGGGCCGGCCCTTCCGGAGAGGCCTGCCATGAGGGGCAGGGCCCCTCACCCACCCTCTGGGGCCTCCAGGCTGAAACAGGAGGGGAGAGCCCGCCCAGAGAGGTGGCAGGTGCCCCGGAAATGGAGTTTCGGGAAGGGCAGAGACCATTTTCATCTTCTGGCGGAGATCCTTGCCTTGCTGAGCAAGAGGGGTCCTCCCAGGACAGCTGTGGGGGTGCGCCGGCTCCTTTTTATCACCCCCAGAGGGGCCCTGCCACCAGGAAGGGCTCTGATCCCCCTGAGGCTGTTGCACCCCAAGCTCCTGCCTCCGTCCTCTCCCGGGGACTGCAGGCTCCCTCCTCCTCAGCTCAAGCAAGCCTCCAGTCAGGCCCTAAGATGGGGCTGGAGGCCACCCTGTTTCCTGGGAGGCCCCGTCCCCCCAGCTCTCCAGGGCCAGCCTCCCCATCTGGCATGGCGCCCGGCTCCTCCCTGGACACCGAGGATCTAGCCCAGGAGACAGAGGGCCTGTGGGAGTCTGAGCCCAGCCCACCTCAGCCTCGGGAGCAGGCGACCTCACGGAAGTTCTCCCTTGGGCACCATGGCGGTTATGCAGGGGTGGCCGGCTATGGCGCCTTTGCCTTTGGCGGGGATGCGGGAGGCATACTGGGACAGGGACCCCTGTGGGCCCGGATGACCTGGGCCACCTCTCAGTCCTCGGAGGAACAGGACGAAACAGGGGCCGAGAGCCCACTCCCCCAGGCCAGCATGGTGCCCTGGCCAGAGGGCAGCGGGGGCAGGGGATCCCAGGTGTCGCTGGTGCAGATCCAGGACCTGTCAGGGGACATGGAGGCAGCAGACACCATGTCTCTGGATATATCAGAGGTGGAGCCTGCCTACCTCAACCTGTCGGACCTGTACGACATCAAGTACCTTCCCTTTGAGTTCATGCTCTTCAGGAAGATCCCCAAGCCAGAGCTGCCACCATCCCCAACGTCGGAGGCCGGGGAGGAGCTGGCTGAGCTCCCAGAGGCCACGTGGTCCTGGCAGAGCGGGCTGGGCCTGCCTGCCAGCCTGGAGATCAGGGAAGAGCTGGAGGACAGTGAGGCCCTGTTCAGGGAGGCAGGTGGCAGCAGGAAGCGCAAGTGGTCACCCCCCTCCAGTGGCCTGCGCTTCCCTGGGAGGCAGGCCCTGCTGGACGAGCCTGTGGAACTGGGGCTGCGCCAGAAGGTGAGGGCCTCAGTGGCCCATATCTCCAGCCTCCTGAGAGGCAGGCCTCAAGGTGAGTCTCCCCCCGACCCCCCGCCATCATGGGGGCTTCTGGGCCTGGCCAGGTGTGCCCTCTGCACCTTGGGGCACCTTGCACACACGACCAGGAATCAGCTCAGGAGCCCACCCGAGGCAGGAAGCCCTCCCTACCCCTGCCTGTGCCTGTGCTGCTCACCCCCATGCCCATGGGCTTCTGTTCCCAAGGTGATCTTCTTGGCTTCATCCCCTCCCATGTGCCTCTGAGACCTAGTGCTGGGACCTGGAGCAACTGCAGGGGTTACACCCCCGCGGAGAGGATCCTTCCCGGGCCAGTCTTCCTGACCCCTGACCCTCACTGACCCCACCCGACCCCAGATCTCAGCCAGGACTTCTGGGCACCGGCACCCCTGAGCTGCTGGCCTTACTTGCCAGAGGCCCTCCCACTTAGAACGGACAGATGCTGACAGGCTCGGGGGAGGGGTGGACTCCTCAGCAGATTTAGTTTGTTCCCCCCCAAAACCCCTAGGATCTGGGCTTTTCTGCTACATGGGAATCTGGCAGAGGGTAGTAGGTGGCCCCAGAGTCCTCCTCCCGTGCTCCTGATGGCAGTGCCAGGCAGCTGGTGTGACCTCCCTTGGTTCTGTCCTCCATGCAGGTCCAGAGAAGGAGGGTCCCCCTAGGAAGAGGGCAGGCCTCGTTTCCTTCCGGCTGTCGGGTCTGAAGAGCAGAGACCAAGGTGAATGTGCTTCCTGGGACTGGGTCCCCCTGCTGCCCAGGAGACCACAGTGCCCAGACCAGCAGGGGAGCAAGCTAAAACCCACAGTGACTTGAGCCCAGATGGGGGTGCTCGGCTCCCTGGTTGTCGGGACTGAGCACTTCCTGGAGGAGGTGCTAGTGTTAAAGATGAACTGGGTGAGGTGGGCTTCTCTCCGGCATCCCCACCTCGGCTTTTATGCTCTGCCTGGGATCACCTCTGACACTTGGTCCACCTCCCTTCTCTAGCGCCATCCTTCCTAAGGGAGCTTGCAGATGAGACCGTGGTCCTGGGCCAGTCTGTGACTCTTGCCTGCCAAGTGTCGGCCCAGCCAGCTGCCCAGGCCACCTGGGATAAAGGTAAGGAGCTATCCCGGTGTCGGGGAGGAGGTGGAAGTGTGGCTGGACAGCAGGGGGTATTCCTTGACTTCATGGCTATCAACTTACAGAGGGAAACTGAGGCCCAGATAGGGTGTGGGGCTGGGTGTTTTGAGCTGCCCCCCAGGCTTGCTTTGTCCCGATGCAGATGGGGTTATCCTGGAGAGCAGCAGCCGCCTCCTCATCTCCTCCACACTAAAAAATTTCCACCTTCTGACCATCCTGGTGGTGACCCCTGAGGACCTAGGCGTGTACACATGCAGCGTGCACAATGCCCTGGGCACGGCAGCCACCACAGCTGTCCTCCGGAAGGCAGGTGTGTGGGCCTCGCCAGGCCAGCTCAGCGGGGACTGGGAGAGGGGCCACTCCAGGCTATCACCTCCTCCCTGAGTTTCCAATGGGGCGGGCAGGCCTAGTCTTAGACCCCATTGATCCTAGAGGGGGTCAGGTGCCCTGCTCTACCACTCAGCCAAGCTGAGGCATCTCTGACCAGAACTTGGGGTGGGCAGGGGCCTGTGAGTGAGGGCCACTCCATGGGCTCCTGAATGTCCACTAGATGAAGGAACCTTGTGGTCAGGCAGGCAGGCCCCTCCTGAGCCTCCTCTGCTAGGCAGCACTGGAATGGGACCCTGGAATCTATGGGACCAGGGGAGGGTGGGCTCAGGTCCTGACAGTAGGATGCAGGGGTGGGGACAGGGGCTCAGAGCTGCATGGGCCGCCCCTGGAAGCCCACCTCAGACCCCTGACTGTGGGCTCTGCAGAGCGCCCCTCGTCCTCCCCGCGCCCAGACATCGGGGAGGTGTATACTGATGGGGTCTTGCTGGTCTGGAAGCCCATGGAGTCCTATGGCCCTGTGACCTACATTGTGCAGTGCAGCCTAGAAGGTAGGGCTGTGCCTGTGCTGTCGACTCCTGGGGGGCCCTGTGGCTAGTGGAGGGATGGGGGGTGCAGGAAGTACCAAGCCAATCTGTGCTTCTGGGCACCCAGGGGGGAAGGACTGCCCCCCTCTGTGCTCCTGGGCAGCCTTACTCGGGAAGGGGTCTCTCCACCTGGGACTCTGGAGTGGGGAGCTCTGGAGCTACCCCTCACCCGCTCTGTGTGGCCAGGTGGCAGCTGGAGCACGCTGGCCTCAGACATCTTTGATTGCTGCTACCTGGCCAGCAAGCTTTCCAGAGGCGGTGTGTATGCCTTTCGGACTGCGTGCGTCAGCAAGGCCGGCATGGGCCCCTACAGCAGCCCCTCTGAGCAGGTCCACCTGGGAGGGCCCAGGCACCTGGGTGAGCCTCTGCAGGACCTGGTGGGTGTCGGGTGGTGGTCCCTTCGGAATTGCCCTACCACTTCACCAAAATACATACAATCACCGGGAAGGTTTTTTCTGGCTAGTATGCTGCCCCTCCTCCCTCCCCAAATGATCCAAAGAATGAGAGGCCAAGTGTGGGTTTAAGGGTGCCAGGGAAGGGGTGCGAGGAGACAAGGTTGGGGAGCTGGGGCTAGGGCGAGTCACCGGCTTCCCTTCCCACAGCCTCGGAGGAGAGCTGCCCTGCACCGCCAGCCCAGCCGCTCCCCAGCACGCAGACCTTCGCCTTCCAAACACAAATCCGAAGGTGCGGCCGATCCCCAATCCGCTCTCCAGCATCTGCACCCCCTTCTTCCCTGCTGGGCTTCCTCCCTGCAGCTCTGAGAGTGGGAAGGGGCTGCAGGAGGGCGCGTGGGGGACAGGAAAGGTCCTCAGTAGCCTGGCCTGTGCCTCCTCACCAGGGGCCGCTTCAGCGTGGTGCGCCAGTGCCGGGAGAAGGCCAGTGGACGGGAGCTGGCCGCCAAGATCATCCCCTACCGCCCGGAGGACAGGACAGCCGTGCTTAGCGAGTACGAGGCCCTCAAGGGCCTGCGCAACCCACACTTGGCCCAGCTGCAGGCCGCCTACCTCAGCCCCCGGCACCTGGTCCTCATCTTGGAGCTGTGCTCAGGGCCGGAGCTGCTCCCCTGCCTGGCTGAGCGGTGAGGGGCCACTTGACTTGGATGCAGGGCTGGGGGAGGAGGGGCACAATGCCAGAGGCTCACTTCCTGGCTCACATCCGCCTCCACCGGGAAGGGGCTCAGCGAAACCCACCAAGCTGAGCCCTCCCCTGTGCCCCCAGGGCCTCCTATTCAGAATCTGAGGTGAAGGACTACCTGTGGCAGATGCTGAGCGCCACCCAGTACCTGCACGCACAGCGCATCCTGCATCTGGACCTCAGGTCCGAGAACATGATCGTCACAGAGTACAACCTGCTCAAGGTGGTTGACTTGGGCAATGCCCAGAGCCTCGCCCAGGAAAGGGTCCTGCCCTCAGAGAGGTTCAAAGACTATGTGGAGACCATGGGTGCGTGGGGTAAGGGGTGGGCCAGGAGCCAGTCCCTCCCACAGTCCTGCCTCCAGGCCTCACCTGTGCACCTGCTTTCCCAGCCCCGGAGCTCCTGGAGGGCCAGGGTGCCGTTCCACAGACTGACATCTGGGCCATCGGTGTGACGGCGTTCATAATGTGAGTCACCGGTGACGGGGGCGGGAGGCGGGGGGTTGTGGGGGCTGGTGTGGGATCCATGAGGATGACCTCAGACCCCCTTGTGACCTGAGTCCCCTACCTCGCTCCCGCGCAGGTTGAGCGCTGAGTACCCAGTGAGCAGCGAGGGCACGCGAGACATGCAGAAAGGCCTGCGCAAAGGGCTCATCTTGCTGAGTCGCTGCTACGCGGGGCTGTCCGGGGGAGCCGTGGCCTTCCTGCAGAGCACGCTGTGCGCGCACCCCTGGTAAGGTGGCCCTGTCCCCCAACCCCCACCCTGCCGCCCCCAGCTGCCGGTCCTGCCCATCCCCCTGTGCCCTGCACCCGCCAGAGCGGGCTGACACCCACCACCACCACCACTCTCCATGCTCCAGGGGCCGGCCGTGTGCATCCAGCTGCCTGCAGTGCCCATGGCTGACGGAGGAGGGCCCAGCCTGCTCCCAGCCCTCCGCGGTGACCTTCCCCACAGCACGTCTGCGTGCCTTTGTGCGAGAGCGTGAGAAGAGGCGGGCGCTGCTGTACAAGAAGCACAACCTGGCCCAAGTGTGCTGAGCGCTTGGTCCTTCGGTGTTTGGTGGGGGGCGGGAAGGGGGGGAGGGGTCACACTGCTAGGCAGCACACCTGGCCTGGCCTCCACACGCAGTATATGCACAGACACTAATAAAAACCAGAACCTCATGAGGCCTCATCTATTTCACTGTTTTGTTTTAGGGAAGAGGGTGAGGGCCCTGCACCTTCCTGGGGTTTGGGGAACCATCCATTTAGCAGAACTGCCCTTCCTTGGTTCATGGATTGAAAGAGCCTGTCAGGGCAGTCTCACTAGACCAGCCCACCTGCCAGTCTCTGGGGCATCTCCACTGGAACTCCTGCTCAGGGTGCACAGATCGAATGGTTCCCGTGGTGAGCGTCCTGGCTCTGATCCTCCATCAAGGCCACCAGGAAAGGCCGCTGCAGCCCTTTCTTGGTCTGAGGCAGGAGGAGCCTGGTGAGTGACCAGCCAGGCGACCCAGAGGGATTGGAGAGGTGGGCTCAGAGCTAGGGAAGGTGTTATAGAAGCTGCTGTAGGAGCCTGAGCCACGGTGGCTTTCCCCCCACCTGATCCTGCCAGACGTTCCTGCTGCCCACAAGAGGAATCCTGTTTGGGAAGTGTGTGTGGTCCTGAGGTTGCATGAGCATGTGCCGCCTTGTTTGATCTCCACCAGCTCCAATTCTACTTGCTGTCAGGAATGGTCTCCCAACACCAGCGCTCCTTCAGGGGCAGTCCACTGTGCCCAGGGCCTATGTCGGAGCACTGTGCTGTGGAATTCTCCCACAGGGCACCTCCTGCACCCTGGCCATTCCTGTTTGGACACATAGTGAGCACACCTCCAGTCTCGGCCCTCACGGTGCCCTGTGGCACCTGTGTGTGAGCCCACTCCTTCCTCTCCATCACACACCCAGCCCCAGCTCACCATGTCTACAGAAAGCTTGGCTCTATATGTTGGGACCAGGTGACCCTTTCATCCTTGTCTTTGGAGGATGCATTTCTTTGGTGACCTCATCTGTGCTGTGTGCTGAGATGACTTGCTCTTGTCTAATCCTGTAGAGATCAAATTCTGCAAGTTGAGCAGAGCTCTGACTCTCACACTGAGAGACACTTGCTGGGGCTGGACAGAGGCAATGGGTCTTCCAGATCCCCCAGGAGCTCAGCTTTCCTGGGTCTATGCTGGGCTGGCCTTGCCTCCTTGAAAGCCCAGGTCTCCTTGTGCATGCTGCCTTGGTACTCGGTACCAGTGCTTCTTGTGAAACAGCTAGTGGCTTGCCTAGGACTCACCCTGGTAACATCCTCTAGCATGGGCCATGCCACATCCTCACTCACTCCTCCCATGACTCTCCTCTCCTCTCCTCTCTCATTCAGGGTGCCCCTCTTCCCAACTGAACCTTGCCTGATAAATCCACTCAAACCCAAATTCCCTCTATTTTAAGTATTTTATTGGCAGGTTGTTTCTAAAGATCAAATAAAATGTACTGCATTTTAAACAGTCACATCATATTTTATTATATGCTTTTTCAATTAAGCTTTTATTATGAGACTAGAGGCCCAGTGCACAAAAATTTGGCTCTTGGGGGGTCCCTCAGCCCAGCTTGCACCCTCTCGCAGGCCAGGAGCCCTCAGGGGCTGTTGGACATCCTTAGCACTGCTGCGGCGGCAGGATAGGCTCCTGCCACCACTGCTGTGTTTGCCAGCCATGAGCCTGCTTCTGGCTGAGCCGCGCTCCCCCTGTGGTCAGTGTGTGTCATAGCGACCAGTCTTTCGGCTGTTCAGTTGATTTCCGTATTAGCCTTTTATTATACGGGACCGTTTAGAAGCAGTTGCAGCTGCTAGAATCAGTATCACTGTGCCTTTCCCCCTCAGGAACTGTGTCT